CCATTCGAATACACACATAAACCAATCAGACCAAATTCACGATATTATCGATAGACAACACAGATCATACCTCTTTTTTGATTAAGAAGAACAAAATAACAAAAACCTAGATAAAAAAAATTTGTTAGAACTCACTGTTGCAGAAATGCCTGTCCACATAGAAATGCCATTCGAATACACACATAAACCAATCAGACCAAATTCACGATATTATCGATAGACAACACAGATCATACATTTTTTTTTATTTATTTTATTTTATTTTATTTTATTTTTTTTTTTTTTGAGATTAAGAAGAACAAATCTTCTCAAGTCTACGACCTGATCTGAATAAATAATACGTCGACAAATAAAAACCGGTCTTACAGACATGACCAGCTACCAATCTCGACTTTACATACGACGAGAAGTTAAAAAAAACAAATTGTGACAAATCAACCAGACACGTTTCTGTAGACAGGCAGTAACAGGCACATTATCAAATGACAGAGCTGCATTTTAGACCAAAGACAAAAAATAAATAACAGGGGAGAGAAATATAATTTGAATGTTTTGATTTTGAAGAAAAAAAATCTAGCAAAATAATAGGGATGAGTGAAGTAGCATAAACACACCTGAAGTGTGGATACCCTACCCCCCCCCCCCCACCACCACCACCCCCCTAATCAAAATTAATAGTGAGAGCTTATAATTTTATATTGCCAATCTCTGAACGTAAGAGAAAGTACAATCTACTTGCATAGTATGATTGACAGGAAAATCTCATAATTTTGAGAAATTATAAACTCTTACTATGTTTTTATCAAGATGAAAGGGGGGGGGGGGTGTTCCACACTTTAGCTCCCTGAGTGAAGCAGGGATGTTTGATCAGTGTTGGATTCTAAAAGATATACAATACATTTTTATAACGCATATACAGATTCGTATCAGAAGAATAAAAGACAAAATGCGTACTATTTACCTTTAGTTTTACAGTAAACTGGAAGTGAAAAAGAATTAGAAAGTTTACATTAACAATTAATTCTAACTACATGTACTAATTATTAATTTCTGTGAACTTGGCTTTAATTTCACATCTGGTAATACAACTTACTGTTACACTCAAACTTTCTTTTCAAAATATGAAATTCATCAAAATACCTTAGTGTAATACTTTTATCATTCCAGTGGAAGGGACTTTGAATCTTACGAATACTGGAAAACATCATAAAAATTCTTACATAAATACACTGCGTGCACCAGTGAATGTTCTCTAAATCACTCTCTTTACTCCTCCCAAAAAAAAAAACTGCTGTGAACGAAAAAACTTCAGACGTACTGTGCTACAATTTATCCAAGAAGTGGTATAATTCAGATGTTGATTCTCTTAAACTCCAAAGAACTTTTGGAAAATTTGAAATTATTTCTTTCATTCTCAAAAGCATAAATTTGCTTGGCTTTTCAACACGTTATACAACCATTCTTCAAGAAAATTTAAGAGCAGGTTCTTTGAGATCATAGACAATTGCTTCTTCAAAAAAATTGAAACTCGAAAAATTCATATCTTGTTGCCTACATCACTTCGTAAGAAAATTCTGATTCTACACACAGTTACTCTGATGGTGATGTAGAAAATGCCCATGTTCCTCATTTAATATATCTTTATTATCTTTAAAGCCAAGATCTTCCAACAATATGTTCCACGCGCAATGACACCTGCATACTGCTTTTACGTCTCCCAGTTGATTTGGTAAGCCAGAGATTGCTCTGATTTTGAACTGAGGCAGATTACTGACAAAAAAGTTGATGTAACATGGACTTTAAACAATCACTTTTAAAGTCAGCATTTTGCATATAATGACATCCTCTGCAAATACATCTTATTGTTAGCTCATATTTTTACCGATATGTTTCATACCAATAGTTGGACATTTGTTTTATATTAATCTTGACTACGGATTATTTAGAGTACCTGATCAATACAGAGGACTCATGGCGGATGTGACAGGTCGAGAGGGGATGCTTACCTCTCCTGTTTGTAATGTTCACTTTGCACATATAAGTGATCCTGATTTGATATGAAGTTTGCAATTTGATAAGGGAATATCTCATATTTCACATACAATATCTAGAAGGTAACAAAATACCCAAGATCCGGAGAAATGGGGGGGGGGGGGGGGGGTATCTTATCGACTTGCATTATACAGCTCTTAGATTCCATTTTTGTAACATGATGGTAGATTTAGATTTATTTTGGGGAATTTTAAAATAAGGTATGTTTGATAGGAAAATTTTGTGATCAATGTGTGTTTAAGTAGGACTGTTATAATGTTAATACATTCATGCGTGATAATTTTATTTTTGCGTAATCTGCAGACGAAAATTTCATTCCCGTGTATATTTGTATCGTGTATATTTGTATTATTAAACACTACACTATGTAAATCACCTTCCAATATTCTTGAAAAATGCTGTCTTGTTTATAAATACCAAATACACATGTGTCTATCTCCTGTAAAGCAGGTGTCGCGAAAATTGGAAATGTACAGAAATAACTATGTACAACTGTTTTACAAAATTCTTTAACATACTTTTTCAGTAACATATCTACTTATAGGAGCCTCTGCTGTTTTGTTTTTTACCTTTTTCCTCAACAATTTTATATTTTCCGCTTAAATTCAATACAAGTCCTTATTTTTCGAATATTTTCAAATTTTGCATGCTGAGTTCCATTAATTATTCTCTAACGATTTTCTAGTTCCAGAGGAGTACATCAAAACGATATCTTAAATGCTGTAGTGATTAATCACTAAGATACGCCTACAGGGAAGTCTGCACACCTAATCACTACATGTCCGTAGGAAGCAATTTCAGTTGGGGGGTGGGGGGAGCACAACCATGCATTTTCTGTTTGGAGGGCACTATCAACTACCAAAAAATTCCTTGACAAGAAAAAAAAAAAAAAGAAAAAGGTCACCAGACGTTATTATTGACTGCAGCACAAGCATATAGTAGCTATGTTTTCTATAGTATTCTATATATCAGCAAAATTATCGGGGGATCGAGGACACGCCCCCCGTGCCCGTGCCCCCTCCCCCTCCCGGTTCCTATGGCCATGCACTGCCACAAGAACCAAGTGAAAAAATCTGCATATGATTAAGCAAATTGTGCTAATAAGCATATTAGTTTTGTGCAATGACAATCAAGTATGGCCACGCATATTGGCACTTGCCGATTCCAGAGCAGGGTTGTTTTCAATGGACTTTTGAGCCTGATTACTATTCGTTATCTTCATATTTCATTCCATATACTATGGCATTCAGATACGCTGGTATGACTGCACATTTATCTGTTATCGCTGCTGTGCAATATAGCAGCATAGTCCTGACATTTCTACATTCCCAAATCTTATTTCTTGGTCCTTTTTGTCGATTCTTATATGCAAACCCTATATGCACACTGTATGGTACCTTGACTTAATGAATATAGCGTTTTCAATGATTTAGAAGCTAGGAATTAATGATGTACAACACAGCTGCCCTCAACGTTGTCGTTTAGTTTTCGTTCTTTTTCTTTGTATGGTACATGTATGGTACATGCCTATATCTTCTATGTGTATGCACATTTTGGACAAAATCGTGCATGTCATATTTGGACAGGAAGTTCCCAAATTTACCCCCCCTCCCTTTGACTGACATTGGGAACCCTGATTGATTTCTCAAATAAGTCAAGTTACTAACTCGGTTAGCATAGTTGTTGTCAAAATCCATTCACTCATTTATTTAACCATATTTTACACTCATAATGTAACTTTGTAGCAGTAAAGATAGACATGAACAATTTTGAAGAACTTTAAGTGAAAAAGTATTGTTCATCTTTGCCTACGTTTTATTTCACTTTAAATGTTTCTTTATGAAAAGTGTAAGGTTTGTAGTCAATTGAAGCGGGGAATAGGCACCATAAAGATTTTCAGAAAAAAGAATGCTTTGTTATGATCACGAATACAATTTACATTCAAAATCAAATAATTTTAAGGGATAAGTGGACGATTATAGGATTCTTAGGGGGAAGGGGTTTACCATGCACAAACATGCATTCTCTCTATCTCTCTTTCTGCATCTGTCAAACTGTGATTAAGTATCTTGTAATTTCTCATGAGGAAATTAGAGTTTATCCAGATGTTAATCGATTAATATGCATTTCCTTGTGACTTCAACACAGAATACATATCTTCTGTGATTAAAGGTATGTATCCATAGTGTTTTATACAAAATCAAAAATGCTAACTTTCTTAATTCAAATCAACAATGTAGTTTACTTTGTTATATATTTCTAAATTAGTTAAGAAGATGTACATGTAGAATGGAGTATAATACATCCTTATTTTCATTATCTTTTAAAATATATTACGCTACAGTAAAAGTTAATGTAAAACCATGTTATTGCCTTGTTTTGGCTAATAATTAACATTCTATTTCTTGATGATTCATACTTGTAGCAATATTACTACTTTATACTGCCATGGACACGAATTTCTTCAGCTATTTCATTTCCCTGCTCCTGTATAATATACCGGGGACTCGGACGTGCGAAGAGTAAGTACAGCATTGTTATAGACCTCATTTAACAAGGTCAATTAAAAAGTCGAGATATCCTCTTTCCATAAAAAGCTACTGAGATATACTGGATAAGCTGTTTTCTATGAAGTGAGACACAGACAGTTACTGAAATGAACATTTTTTCCGTGATTTTCTATCAATATAATGCTATTAGAAGCGAGAAAATATTTGGCTGTGAATGTATCCTTAGCTATTAGTTAAAATTAGCCCTAGAAAACACAATCAGAAGACTCTATAATTTGGCTATACAAGGAGAGTGATGTGTCATTAGTTAAGTAGATTAAGATACAGGAAGCGGGATCAGCTGACCCGTAGTTGATGTAGTTCCAGTCATCAGTTGTTAATACATAATTTATTTCCTTGTCTAAACTTAAAGAAGTGAGCTGGTAAAATTTGTTAATTGTTCATTTTAAAAGAAATGAAGGTTTCTTTGTTGATTATTATTTCTTTAACAAGATATCTGGAAGGTTGCCGAAAGTAAGTAAACAACAGATATATGTCTTTAATCTTAATTAAAAAATGTGAGTCACTTGTTTTGAAAGTGTTGCTTAGATGCAGATGAAAATCTTTTATATGGAATAAATTTGTAAGTATGATAACAACTATCTAAGGCAAAAACATGTTTGCAACAATGATAACATATTGTCAGCAAAGCCATCTGTCAAATTCTTGCAATCTAAATTTGATTGTTGATAAGGCACTCTAGAAATTAAACCCTTTTCTTGCTATGGCTAGGTCCGGGGATTCATCGTCCATAACAAATTGCTGTCCCGATTATTATCTTAAAAATGGAGTATGCGTGGGTAAGTTAAACATGAATATATTGGTCTGTTTTACTTGATGCTGTCAGATATTTCATGTGTAGGCTAGCATTTTCCAAACCCATTTTGCAGATTGTCCAGCTGGAAGGTTTGGACCCAGTTGTCAGTTTAACTGTGAATATCCAAAGTATGGAAGACGATGTCTTGGAGGATACTGTACCTGTTCAAGAGATGCATGTGATCCGGCAATTGGATGTAGAGAAACAACAACTTGTAAGATTTATATTTTGTCGTATTACAGTAAAACTGGGACATGAATTTTTTGTTACTTTTATACAAAATTCTTTATATGCATACATGAATGTTTTATACTATGAGAGATGGGGAAAAATTTATTATAAACGATATTTCTTTAAAATTAATTTGAATATATATGCATGATGTACCAAAACAAACGTTTAGATAAAGACAAGTAGAATATATGTACTTAACTATTGTATCTTTTTAAAGCTGTACAGAAAACTAGTCCACAAGACTCTGCATCACTTACCTCATCATCAAGGAAAGTGACAACAAAATCAGTAACTATCATAACTACGATGTACAAAAATGACGACCAGTCAACGAGGTATAGTATATGGGATGACAAAAACACATCAAAGAGTTTTGTAACAAGCAACCAAAAAATGGAGTCAGAAGTCATCAAAGACACACAGAAGGCTGGGGATTCCCAAGACATTTCTCTGAATATCATTATCATGTCTGTCATCGGTGGATTGGTCATACTGTTACTCATCATTGTGATCATCGTACTGATAAGAGGAAAACGAAAAGTAAAGGTTGAAAAACGAGATTCTATAGTGACCAGTAGAGGAAATGTCAATACCTACTGCGAAATAAACGATTTAAGAATTCCCTCCACGTCACAAGATTGCAGAAGGAGCGATGTGGGAAAATATGAACTAATTGACCAGTCAGAAGAGGATAGGAAAAGATATTCCTCACTCCCTATGAATTGCAGGTCAGATAATAATAGGAAAAGTGACTTAGTAAAGTACGAACAAATTAAGCAGTCAGATAAGGAAAGAACGAAGTATTCTACTCTACCCTCCAAAAGCATGCCTGCCTCAAACAGAGATAGTTATATAACCCCAGTGCCTGTCGCAATTCAAATTACAAATACCGTAGAAGAGCACTTTCCAATATTAAAGGAGACAGAACAGGGAGTTTCAGAACCCCCTGTGTTGTTAAGAAAGGCTAGCAATAACCGTAATCCCAATCTGTTACCTGTTTCAGATCCCTTTGCAGCATCCAAAAGTGTTAGTGGATACATTGACATGAACGAAGGTGGAAAACTAGATGAATATGTTCCGATGGAGGGTCAACTAAACAATATGAAAAACTCTGATTCATGCAAAAGTGAAGAAAAAACATTTATTGAATGAAACTTACAAATGATAAGCTTAAACACAGCTTTTGTTTCAATTTGTTCCTTTTGAATGATGTTATATAGTGATGTTTCAATTCTACCACAAAGCATGGCGACACTCATGCATCACCTTTAACTTAATCTGTCTTTTTATCCATAGTTTTGTTTATATATCTGGATCAAATTCAACATCTTTGGAATAATGTTGAAAAGTAGTGCTATGTTTTTTGTTTTTTTTTCAGTATTACTTTTGCTATTTTAGACAGTGAAAGATGAAGGTTGAATAATTAGCATGTGTTTAATCCATGTTGCGTGTATATCACCTCCTCATAGAGTATCCTTGTGATTTTTACATTAAAACATGTTTATATGTTTACATGTTTATTACCCATGATTTCTTTTCCTACATGTAATCAGACACAGAATGCACATTAAAACCAAATACTAGTAATCACTGTACTTTTTGTCACTCCTTTTTACTATCGCAACCGACATGTCACATCTATCATTAGGATGTCGAATAAAAGTAATACCCGCACATTTTAGAGAAAATTCGGGTAAATAATACTCCCTGTCCGCTCGTCACATTTTATTGCCTTGGCAAATCCTTCTAGAAAAGAAGTAACGATATTCTTTTTGCTAATAATTATGAATGCCATACAGATTTGCAGAGATTTAAGTGAATTTAAATTTCAGCCAAGTGTATGGTGCTTACCGGCGTTATAAGGATTGGTTTGAAAATTATACACTTCAGAGTATTTTCTACAAAATTTTTGGTCCGGAAAAAATATCTTTGCGAGTATATGATTGAACATGTCATGTAAAAGCCATTAGGTTTCTGAATTTTGGCCAATGTACTACAGTTCCCAAGGGACACAAGGGGCGTGACAACTTTTATACGGCGAAAGCTTGTTAGTTAACCTTTTTTCAATATTATAAAGGATAATTGCGTTCAAGTACATGTATAATTGTCTATCAGTCAGAATTTTGATTTACATTTGAAGCTATTTCTTGGATAGGTGATGAGATTCGCTTTTCCTTCAAACCTCGGTAACAACAATTAAGTCCTGCTTTGGTTGATTTTGCATCATTGGATTCATCCTCCTAGTTATGCTTTGGATGTTGCATTTGTCCTATATTTTGATGATGAATGAACACAGTAAAGCTCTAACGACAGTTCAATTGATCATTATATATGTACTAGGTTGACAATCTTGATTGAGTGATTGTTTCTTTCGTTGAAGATGCCATTAACTGGAACATTTAATTTAAAGAATAAGGTAAATTCTACTTGTCAAAAGTGCATATGAAGTTACATAGTATTCACTGGTAATTCGGAAGTTACATGCAACATACACAATTATTGCTGTTTTTGAGGTCAATACGATTATTTAGTCAGAGAGCTAGGGTTGGGAATTATTCAATCATAAAAAAAATAAAATTTCTACGCTTTCCTATAAATTTATCATATTAAAATCACTAAGTGGAGTTCATTGCAAAGTGATATTTTCTATAAATTTATCATAAATTATTGAAACAGGGTTCTTTACAAGGGGTTTTACCATGGCGGCCCGCTAAGGTTAAATTTTTGTGTATCGTGGTGAAGCGAGCTGCGCCATGGACAAATTCGATTCGGCGGCAGCCATGATTAGATTTTTATCACATATCTACGATGGCCGATATGAGCCGTCAAATTACATATGTAAGAGTAACTCTATAATCTACGCAGAATTAATTGACTTTATTAGTAATACCAGTATCATTCTGTACATGTACATCTTTGTCAATGAAAAAAACTTTTAGTTGTAATATAAATTTGTACATGTACAAATCCTGAGTCAATATATATTTGTAATCACTTAACATTCCTAAGATCAATTGGGGAGATTATCTGTAAACTTAGAAAGGGATAAAAACAAATACCATATGTGTGGTTTTCTTCCCATGTTTCTCTCCCTTTTTTTTGGGGGGGGGGGGGGGTTAAATAAATGCTGTATGTCTAATTTTAATGATATTAAAGAGAGCAAGACTGCTTTTACTTTCATATACGTCGTCTGAGATCACGAATTTGGGATTTTTCCATGAAAGAATATTTTGTAAGTGTCTTTATTCAGATTCCTCGTGTTTTTGTTTGATTTTAACTTCTTTCATGACAACGCAATATTAAATTCATTCTTAAGCCCCAAATACTAGTTAAAGATTCTAGAGACAATGAAGCTGAATCTTTAAGTAAGAAGTTTATTCATTTCCTCATTCTATTCTTTTCCTTGTTCCAATGAAAAAAATAAAGGAGAAAAAATTAGATTGGAACAAGGAAAAGAGTAGAATGAAAAATAAACACACTTCTTACTTACGCAAATCATCAAGCGACATGCAGTCTTTCATCTGGAGGGAAGGGAAGGGAAATAATAAAGATGCAGCTTCACTGTCTCTGTAATCTTAACCAGGACTTTGGGGCCTACGAATTAATTTTAATTCTGCGTTGTCAAAAAGGAAATTAAAATCAAACAAAAACACGTATAGGACACTGTGCTCATTAACCTCAATTTATTTGTATCAATTAGTCTATTAACATTTTAATAATGAAAGTCTACATTTGATAATCAGCCCCTCCTGAGTTGACCTCTTTAAGAATGAATTGAGTTTTTCTGTAATAAACAACTTCAGAAGAATGGCACAGGCCCTCCACAGTTTCCCTGTCTGATATCAAATCCTTAATGAGATATTTCCTGCCATTGAATTGTATATACTAAAAATGCAAAAAATAAGTATTAAGTTCCAAGTATGTTAATAAAGTTTGAGTGTTTGAATAGGTTCACAAATAAGCGTTATTTGTTTATAAGATGACGGAAATGTTATGCCTATACCTATCCCAAACAAATAATTAATCCAATTGATATATTTGTTTTTAAAAATTGGAAATCATGTAAGCATTCTTATTTCAATCTGGACCCGTTTAGCATATAACACAATTTAATGATTCAACTTCAAAAATCATCTATATTTTCAAGAAATCGTTCTGAAAATATGAATACTAATTTAAACTGACTGTTCGTTGTTTTAAAACAAAACAGATGCAGACATCGGTTATTCACTTGAGTTTCAGAAAATGTATATTATAATGAAATAAGATTTGTCATTCTTTAAAAGGAATAACCAAGAAAAAGATTCATCTTATATCATTGTTCATTCATAAATTGTCAGTTGCAATCATCTCTCACACTAATTACTTCCAAGACCTACATAAAATAATATTACATTGTTTTGTTCATACTTCTAACCACAGTACATCCGTCTTTTGTCATACATGTAGCAGCAACTTATTTTTTTATTGAATTAGATAAGAGAGAATGCTATTATATGCATGGAGTGGGTAATTACTTTTAAATTCTTTTGATTTAACTGCTTTACGTTCAATAGAATCAAACGTGAATTGCAAAAATTTCAGGAGCAAATCGATGCATTTCTTGCACACTGTATTCTTTAATAATCAGCTAAAAATAGCATCATACATTTGAACAAACATTTGAATACCTTTTTATCCTACATCAGAGATTTTCTTCGTATAAGCTGTGTTCACACTAACAACAAGCCCATAAATAAAAATCTAAAAAAAAAAAAAAAAAAAACTTCTTGTATAGAGAGAGTATTTATAGACATTGTATGCCTGTTGCCCAATCTACTAACATTTATTAAGTTCTGCAAACCAATGTATAATTTTCCTCTTTGAAAAGTTTCTATTTCATGAAAATTCGAAGATAACAAATAGTGATCAAGCTCAAAACAATACAAATTGTAACATGTTTCGAGGAAATTCATTTAAACATTATCCTCCAGTGTGCAGAGAAAATTAAATTCCGTCATGAAGTTATTGTCTGTTCTATAAATTGAGTGTATTGTGTTCTATGTCTTAATTTACAACATTGACATCTGAGTATTAAACTTCCCAATCATTTCTTCTGTAAGAAATATAAATATGCTTTGCCACTCGTATCACTTTACCTTCAGTATCATTCCATACTTTTCATACCAAATGAGAGATAACACATGCTTAAAAATCATTTTGAATACTTATTTGTAAAAACAATTTACTGGCGTATTTATCTTCCTTTTCCAAGCTCTGTCTAAAACAATTTTACGTGTATTCCATGAATTCTCTAAGGAATATTAATGAATTTCAGATATTATATCAGCAGTTACTTAATCATTTTTAAACGGTACAGAAAACTGACAGATTAGACGTACAGGTAAAATAGTTTGCATCAGATATAATATATATATAGTAACCTCAGTCTATTCCAAGAAGCAATGATATGAACAAACTTGTGTCTGTGCCAAAATGGAATGCTGGTAAAGAAGCTTTCTGTAAACTTTAGCTCCTATTGTGATCCCGCTATTGCTCGAAGAGCTATTCTTTGATCATAAGTTCACTTTGATCTTCACTCAGTGGGTGTGTGAAAAATCATATTATATACAAATGGCATGTTATGGAGAATAACAGTTGAAATTGAAACCGTCACCAAAACATCTTTTACAGATGTAGTGAATGAAGGTCATTTTCCAAATTAGCCAAAAGGATAAGAAACGTTTAAAAAAAACTTAAGTATTTTTACCTGTCAAAAAACGTAGTATATTGAAGCGTGTATATTGTCATGTGTTTTTCCACTGAAATAATACAAATTTGAAGCAGAGCAAACCTGGACCTCTTAAACATCAGAGGGGGGTCAGGTGCCATGGAGGAGTAAGCACCCCCTGTCGAGCGGTCACAACCGCCGCCGCCGCCGTGTTCCTCTTGTCATGATCGGGCAAACGGGAAAATCCGTAGACAATTCAGTGTGAAAAAATCCTAACAATTTGTATTTTAATTTGAACTTTAAACGAGACAGTTGAATCTTTGTACCATAAACCTAATTATCAATAGCTTGCCTCGTTTAATAAATTGTTTGCACGTAGAGCATGCGCTTGTGTCCCTAATCAACTGGGAGACATAAACTCCATATGCAGGTTGTTATGGCATATTACTACATAAATAAGGTATTTACTACATAAATTGACGATAAAAAAGTTACAGTCATCACATTTGTCATAAATTTTTTCCAGTAAAATATTTAAATATGAAACAGATGTGTCAGACTCTTTGGTGATTATTTTTATTTCGAGAGAAAAGGCACATAGCAATGTAGGAATGAAATTGATATTGTTTATTGATAAAACGTCGTCGACATATCTAACTGTTGAACTGAAGGCCACAGCAGGAGACCTTTTTGCTGTTTGTTAGGTTACCATTTACCCCTTTTTATAGTAAAATATTCAAATATGAAACAGATGTGTCAGACTCTGTGGTACCTTTTATTTCAAGTTCACTGGGATGTATCGAGTCGACATGTGAATGGAAGTAACTATTGTTAATTGATAATACGTCGTCGATATATCTAAATGTCGAGTTGAAGG